CACCGTCTTCCAACTCATTCACTGCATAATAAAATACACATATTCGACAACATATCAAGCAATGTACATATATTTGTAATACGTTAGTTTTTTTTTCTCCCAGCAGTACATGTTCAAAGGCTGTACGTGTACATATATACTTAAGCCATCCATTCCCACACGTCGAATTAGCACATTTGGCTACATACGGTGTGAAAGAAGTTCAACATACAAACAAAAATAAAACTTGATTTTAAGCTTTCGTGACTGCAGGTTCTTTCGGTAAAGTCACGTAGAAAGAAAGTAAATTACATTTTCTTTCTACGTGACTTTACCGAAAGAAAGTAAATTAAATTTTCTTTTTACGTGAGTTTACCGAAAGAACCAAAGAGTAATACATACATAATTTGAGGGAAAAGACAAATACGGACATTGTTATTCAGCCACGCGCCTTGTTAAAACTATTATGAAAGTTTACTACTTTCAGTGTGAAGTTCAACATTCGTACATCCTATTCAATTTACAAATAAACTTGTATTCGAACTTCTTGGAATTTCTTACAACACGTATTAAAAAAAAAACCACACGCTATTGGAGACCTCGCAATCAGCCTTGCCGCCACGTCCCGTCACACCTCACCGCCGCCCTCTCTAGCCGGGCATCGCCTGCAATTACACAGTGCACTCTGCGATACGCTGGGGCCCACGTCGCCATGGCCCTATCAGTAATTGTCCGAAGCGCGCTGGAGGGAACGTGTCTGGTCCATTAAAAAAAAAAACAGCGGGACTATTTGGGCGCATTGCTGCGAGCTTACTTGGAACGCGCAGATGGATTTGATGTAACGTAGATTTGAAGTTTTCGTGACGGCAAGGATCCATATTCTTTGGTAATAAAAAATAATAAATAAATAAAATCACGACGTTTCGATTGCAACACAAGCAATCATCATCAGGTGTGACAACCACAGCAATAATTTTTTTACAGAAGTAATTTTTTTTACTGATGCAATTTATTTATTTATTTTTTGTTTTTTCACCTACGTGACTTTATCGAAATAACCAAGGAATATTGATGTAACGTACCAGCGATGTGACATTTCATTTAACATTTCCTGGTTTAATACCTTAAGATGGAAATGTAAGCCATTTATGAATGACGTGCATTAACCCGGACAATCTTTTATTGTTTCAACCGTCAAGTGCGTGTGCTCGGCATCAAATGCTGCATAATTCACAGATGCCATCATCACCACCACCACCACCATAATAATCACTGTCGTATGTTGATGTTACAAGCCCCTTAATCCCCTAATTTGATGATTAAATTAACCTTATGCATCATTGCTCCCCATCACCTTTATCAAGCTACACTGACCAGTGTGGTGAGGTTATACAACCCCCACGGCCACCACGAGGTCGGGAGACCCTTATCCAGCAGTGATGATGACGATGATGTGAAGCTTCCAAATCTTGCCTTTCTTAAGTGAGGCAAATGCCTATGCAGTCTCTGTGTAAATGATGGCAGTGGCATATTTGGTTGTCACTTGCTGCTATGAATATTCAGGGTCCTTTTTGCAGAGGTTGTGTTCATTCGTGTGTGTGTGTGTGTGCACGTGTGTGTGTGTGTGTGCACGCGTGTGTGTGTGTGTGTACGCGTGTGTCACAAATAGTGGGAGCGGTAGTGTAGTGGTTAGTGCACTGCACTACGAACCCGGCGACCCGAGTTTGATTCCCGCTCATGGCCGACACCAGTGACGATTATCTGAACCGGTCGTGGGCCTCCCCTAGGTCAACTCAGCCTCAAATGAGTACCTGGTGCGGTGTGTAAACATCGCCACTAGGGAGACAAAGGCGGCCGGGCGTGGTGTTGGCCACCCACCCCCTCGTGTGCCGTTCCGGCCTTCATAGGTGCTCGCTAACAGTGCTTGCCTCAACAGTCTGTTAAGGCTATACGGGGGATCTTTGTTCTTGTGTCACATATATAATTCATGCATGGCTCTTTCTGGTAAAAAAAAAAGAATGAGCGATAAAATTAACCGAAGAATAATACGACCACAGGCACAAATCCCTCATTGGCCGGGACCATGAAGAGTCCCGAAGATGTTGCGCGATCCTGCCGCGGTGAAACGGTCAGCGCACTGAACCTGCCATCCAGAGGTCGCCAGTTCCATTAGTCCCTCCTGCCGCGGCAGTTAAAAAAACGGTGTAGCTTTCTTAATTGCCACCCCTGCAGCCGTCTCTCTCTCTCTCTCTCCACCCGGCAGTCTGAATGGGCACCCCACAGTTAGTCGGTTGGCAGGTCGTGTGTGGAGGGATACGGTGTTGGTGGTGCTCTCACCTTTTCCAAAACGGTCTGGCCACTGTGTGTGTCTGTAGTTTTAAGCACAAAGTTCATTTATTAGGTATAGCCCTGTGAGCCATTTGGCTCTTGAATCGGGTGCAACCGCAACAAACAAAAACAAAAACACGACCAAGAAAACATCTTAAAGTGGTCCGTTTGCAGTGCAGGTTGCGGCTTGCTTTGAGTCTTTAAAACGGCTTTCGGAAAGCCACCACAGAAAGCATTTCGGAAGTGTATACCCGCAACGAATGAAGCCTCATGGATTGTCAGTAGGTCTACAACGAGTCGAAGTCTCCCTTATCCCCCCTTTCCTTGTGATCCGATGGATTGTCACAATTTGAGGGCCACGATTCAATTCAAGAATTCGCACTTTTTTTCTCTTTTACATTGTGGCATATTGTAGCGCCTCTCGTGGCTGTAGGGGGCAATCCTCAACTGGATGAAAGCCTCCCCTCTTCCATTGGTGGGGGATGTTATGACCGTATCTTACCACGCTGGTCGTTACAGGTTACCATACTGGATATCTGTGAAAAAGAGCTTAATAGCTCATCGGATTTGTCCAGTATAAATCAGCATTCTGATTTCTGGTGAAGATGCTCACCCAGCTCGGGGAATGCAGCACTCACGGTTAGGTGATCCTGGCCACTGGTGAGGATTCAGGGTGTACGGACCAAAAATAATAGATTCTCGCCCACAGCGTTCAATATACTTGTGTCGGGAGCGTAAGGATCGACTTTGGCCGATGAGTCGGCGTGCCGTTTACCGCCCTCTACTTGCCAGTGACCTAGCAGGTCCTCCGACATGCATGGTGACTGAAAGGGGTGGTTAATGTCACTACTAGAGCGGCACGGCTCTGTGGTATGTGTCGAACAACACACGTTAACTGGGAAATAAGGGTTCGACAGCGGTTTTGATCATTGCGTCACTGTTTACACACAGTTGGACTGAACAGATTTTTTTAAATACACAGTGTGGTCTGCGTAATGCCTCCGCTGACATGCTCCGCTCTCATTTGTACGTACGGCCCTTTGTCAACCCACGTTGTTTCACCATACTTCAACCCCGCAGGTCATTGTGTGTTGCTGAAAGGAGAAGCATCCCAGGACCGATTCAGATTTCATTTGTCAGTGACGTTAGCCCCGGTCAGGAATCAAACATGGGTGGCCAGGTTCATCGCGCAGTGCGCTAACAACTGCACCACCGCTCCACCCCCACAAATCTTTATAATCAGTACTTAAATGAATAACTACAATATACAGTGCTAGTTGCTGGTCATGGCTTGCTGAGAATTTCTTATGAAGCGAAACGTGTGGGGAGACCAGAACTGGTTCGCTCACCACTGACATTAGCTACCAGATGCTCGCTTACCCCAAGACAAATGTGCCTGTCACACGTCACAGCACGGGCTGCGATGCCATCCATGCTCCTTGCTCCATGTGGCACACAGGCCCCACACTGAGGCTGGAGAGTGCAGTCTGTCGGAGCAGTCGACTGGTTTGGGGCACCACGGTGGAGAGATGCTAACTACCTCGCCTGGTATACAGGAGGTCGTAGGTTCGATCCTGATCCTAACGCCTGTATATTTGGAGTTTGCATGTTCTCCCCGTGGTCACATGTATTTTATGGGGATCCTCCGGTGTTTACCCTCCACGTTTAGAAAATGAGTTAAGTGCATTTGGCGGATATACATTTCCACATGATAAGACACTTCGTTGGCCTATCAATTGTGGTCAGGTCGTTTCTGAAAAAGAGCTATAGAGCTCAGTGGGCCTTGCCTGGTAATAGTTTAGTCTTAGTTTGTCAACTCATGCATGTGAACAGCAGGTCCCGCTTACGTCAGGGAAATTGGCTCTGTAATGCCATTTTCGTTGGCCCACATTTGACGCCCGCAGAGATGGCACGTGTCGCCTCCGTGACCTGGGCTTGTTTCAAATCATTATCGAAGAAGGCCTACATGTGCTCGGGCTAGAATTTCCCATAAATACACCAAACCAAGTGTCCGTGTCCGTCGGTGCGTGACCGCCACATATCGAGTGCTTTCTCACTGCGAAGAAAATCTTCACTCTGAACACATTTTCATTTTTCGTAGTAATGTAGATGGGGTTTAGAGGGCGGTAGGGGAATAAATCCGCCATCGTTGTATTTGTGTCCTTCAAGTGTTCTTGTGTAATTCAGCCGGTTCACTGTCGTGTGATTACGTGGCTTATTTGGGTTAGGGATGTCCTTCTTATAGTTGTTCGTGTGTACTATTGACAGCTTACGCGGTGAAATGTGAGCTGGTACAGGAATTCATTCGAGCATATGTGTGTGTGTTAATTTAGCTTCGTGTCCTCTGTGACAATAAATAAAAAAGGATGGAATTGTGTTTCAGTGGGTCTCACAGGATGTAAACCGATAGACAAAAATGTGTAGAAGTCAGGCCGACATTAAAATCCATTTCGTGCCATTGGACTTTATTGACATTTTTTGTTAAGGAAGCCACGGTCACTTTTAATTAAGTCTGACAAAATAAAAAAGAATTCACCGCAAAGGAATGCATGACCTCAAACACAAGAACTCTCCCAGGATCTCACGGATGGTTTGTTGTAAAATCCTGGTGCAATTTCTCAAGGATAAGCAGCGGCGAGAAGAGCACACATCGTTTGAACGGACACCTCACTTGTTTTCCCTGTCTTTCACAGAAACGGGTTTGGTGAAGCCCCCACGCCGGCTGGCATCCTTCCAGCTGTGCCCACGTCTGCCAGTACGGCGCGCGTCACCCCCCAACCTCGTCCTCTGACATCAACCAAAGCCAACGTGGTCGCGGAGGCGGCGCCGGCGCCGGTGGGGATGGCCGGGAGGGTGAGGACGACGAGGAGGAGGAGGGGGAGGAGGGGGAGGAGGCGGAAGGTGATGCGGCGGAGGCGCGCCCCGGCGAGGCGCTGGAACGCGCCGTGGCCGCGCTGCGCGACGTTCGCATCGGCGGCGAGCCGGCGTCGTCGCGCGCGGCCCGAGCGCCGTCGCTCGGTGCCGTCGAGGGCTCGCGGCGGCAGCAGCAGCAGCAGCAGCAGGGCCCGGACGCCTCCTCCATCGCGCTGCCCGATGACCTCAACCCGGACCTGTGGTTCCACGCGATGCACGGCAGCGGCGTGCTGCTGTCCGACGACCGCAGCCTCGCCCGCTCCGCCCCGGACGTGGCCGGCAGCGAGGCGGGAGACAACGAGAGCAACGGCAGCGGCAGGTTCAGCGCCGGCCAGAGCCTGGTGTTCACCAACCGGCCCGTGTTCATCGGAGAGACCATCTACGTGCGCGTCGGTGGGCAGCAGCAGCCCGGAGACCCCATCACCTTCGGCCTCACGTCCTGCGACCCGGCCACGCTGCGGCCGGACGAGCTGCCGACCGACCCTCACTCATTGGTCGACCGGAGGGAGTACTGGGTGGTGGTGACCGTGTGCCCTCTGCCCGGGTCGGCGCAGCAAATAAGCGAGCAAGGTGCAGAGGGGGGGGGGCGAAGTGTGCAGTGTGGTCACGCCGCACGTGCTTCTTTTCGTTTCATTGCGAAGGCTTTGCGCTGCGCCACAGTGGGTGTCAGCGCGACAGCAAAAGTGGCACAATGGGAAAGAAAGGCAGCTGCAGCTGCTGCTGCTGTTACAGCAGCGTTGCCCGTAAATAAATTAATATTGTTTGCCAGCAGTTCAGAGTGCTATATTTAGGCCGATCGAGAGTGATGACGGCCAGGCAAGAATAGTCGATAATTATTTAATACACGAGTGGAAGCACCCATTGGTGAGCGATGGTCCCCCCCCACCCAACCACCAACATCCCCCACATCCCCATCCCTGGGTGCCCCCCCCAACCCTCGTGTGCGATAACCCCCAAGGTTAAAGCCCCACCCGCAGTCCCATCCCAGGTGCCCTCCCCCACCACCACTCGCCACCCCCATACACGTACCAGCCACCCGTACTCTCCCCCTCTCCACGCTGGCACGCGGTCTCCAGCCAATCAGAACGTGCGCTGCGCAGCGCGAGGCCTGCAGCCGATCAGCATGCTGGGAACTGACGGACAAAGCCATTCGTTTTTTTGTACAATATGATTTGAACTTTGCAGTGTTTAATCCAAGTCAAGTATTTCATTAGCTATTTTGCTACATGCTATCCAACCCCATTTTTTGTTCACCAAAATTTCCACGTCTCTGCATCATGATTCGATTCAAGAATTGATTTTTGTATTTACATGGAGGTGCCTGTCGAATTTGTAGTGGCTGCAGGTTTTACTTGGGAAAATTAAATGCAACATATCATTAGCAGTCATGATCTCTCCACAGCTGGATGAAGGCCTCCCCAAGCCACTCCGACCTCTTAATGACCCTGCGATGGAATGATCCACAAAGGATATGCGCACAAAGGGAGTTTCATCGCTCCATCTCCACGGTGGTTGTTCTCTGAGGGATCTTTCCTCCTTTGACTGCCACTCTAATTGTTAGTCTTGGCCACCAGCCATCGTACCTGCCAGCGACGTGATGCCTGCAACGTATACAAATATAAATTCATGGATTGCGTGAGCACGATGAGTCGTCAGAACAAGAATCAAACGATGGCTGATTAAATAAATATGCATAGTACTGTGTTGCCAGGGGAGATCTTGTTTATTATCATTGTTAGCAGCATCATTTGAGAGAAATTAGCCCACCAGTGTGTGTTCGGGACAAGACATCCGTCTTTTCAACGACACACGGTGTAAATCCGAAAACACATCTTAGGGCAATACAGCACAACCGCGAAAACCTTCACAGCATGCATTAGTGAACTCATTTCTCCACGTCAACAAATACTTTTTTTTAATGCCCTTGTATCGATGCTTCCTTGCAACAGACTCTATTCATAGCAGGGGTCCTTCTCCTGCTCAACACAGGGAGACAGCTGATTATTTTAAGCATCTGGACGAGCGCGGGTGAGGTGATCTGAACCACGACCCCTTTGGACCCCAGGCAGACACACTAACCACAGGGCGAGCGGGTCAGCTATTGATACAGAACCCAATTTCTAAAATTAGTCCTCCCGACAGCTGAAGCAACTCATTTTTTTTTCATAGCGGAAGGTTATTGAGGCAACGGTGTTCCCGTGGGACGCCTTTATACGAGAGGCGATGAGTTGACATCCACAGGATTTTCGCGAGTGGTAATAGCGTAAGAGCAATGGGGTTGTTGTTGTTGAAAGTGGCTCACTGTCGTGAATCGAAATGAAAAGGCGCACAGCGGGTCGTTTATTCGCGTGGCGGGGTCGTCGTCGTGAGGGCTGTCACGTAAGCCGCCCCTTGTTTTGCCTCTTCTCTTCCCATCCCATTTTGCTGCAATTTCCTCCGTGTGCTCTCCACTCCGGCTACCACGGCCTTACATCACCTCCCGCCCCCCTCTATCCACTCGGCTAAGTAGCAGGGAGCTGCCGTCTGAAACCCTTTTTCTCTTGCCTCCAGGCATTGTTGACTCTATTCTCCTGTTCAAATTCAGGCTCACAAACTTACTCTTCTCTTCCAACTATCACCGGTTGCTTTTTTTCTCTTCTGAATTCTCGTTCTTCTCCCCACTGCATTGCACAGGGTGTCCTGTTAACCCATGTTATGCATTTACAATATACATTTGCCCGGCCCGGTGGAATTTACCCGGCCCATAGGAATTTGTAATTTCGTCCACTGGCTTATGGCCACAAAACGGAGTGCACGTGCTGCCTAAATACTAATTTTACTAAGAAATCACATTGACTTTGACTATGCTATACATAACTAAAAAAATAAATTTATTTTTATTATACCAGGTAAGGCCCCACTGAGCTATGTGGCTCTTTTTCAGAAGCGACCTGGGCACAAATGATAGCTGAACGAAGTGGCTCATCACGTGAACCTTATGGCGGGACCCCAGGGTCACGAATAAACGGAAGTCAAAATCGTAATTAATTTATTTCTTTTTGGCGACTCCGTCCCACCGCGCACGTAAACGCCCGCGACCCACCAGAAATCAATCCTCTCCCTCTTCACCAAGCACCCTTCGTTGCCAAAATTGCCGTAATCATAAACAAAACTTTGAAACTTTGATTAGCGCATCGTGTAGAGCTCGCCGAGAGGAATAGATTGCCGCACCGTTCGCCTTCCACAGGCATAAAATGACGTCGCAACGCAATTTATGCGAGAACCGGGGGCTTATGGGACCGCAGGGTCCTGCCATCAGGTTCACGTGGACATTCATAGCAGCCAAATGCGCGTTCTAAATGTGGAAGGAATATGTTGATACTGAAACACAAATTATGATGAGTTACTTACACAATCTTGACACCAACATTGCATTTTCTTGTCGCACTTAATTGTCCAGAGGCCCATTGTCTGTCAACATCCTCATGGAAAATCGATAATGCTATGCCACATTTGTGCATGCCATTTTTCCCGACCCTGTGTTTTACTGATTACGTTACCCACAACATGCATAGCAAGCAGAGTAAACCAAACACAGTTTAGCTCACGTGGGTATAACAGGACATTGGGGACACGCTGACGAGCTATTTCCCCCCCTCGCCGCCGGCTTCCTTCCGGTGACACACGACGGCCGCTCTTGAACAATGCCTTGAAGATGTCGTATTTCAACATTACATCGATTCCAATTGCATTGCATTTCTCTGCACACCTGGCCTTTTCGGCTCACTATTCAGATGGAATGAGGCCAGAACGAAACCTGGAAGAGGTCCCTTGATCATCCAAGGTACAGCGCCTGGTCGCAGCAGTTCAGGACTAACCCAGGCCTTGAGCCTCATGTCGCATTGAAACCAGAGCTTCATTTCAGATGGATCTGTCCTGGTTGGCAAAACCCGGAAATTATTTTGCCACTCGGCACATAGCACTCAGAATACCGCTTGCTATGGCTTTGGCTGCTATAGTTTAGGACCCACTCCGGTCTCTCACTAATTCGGAATGTATTCAGTGAGAAATTAAACCTTGCACAGAACGCTGTGTTTGACTGCTTGTTGTGGAGGTTGCGATGACAACACAGAAGCTGGTCAAGCGTATTCGAAGTTATTTATTGGTAGCCGATTGATGTTTTGAGCGTTTGCATCTATGCTCAGCAACTGTGACGATGAGAGAAAAAACATCAAAACAGCAGGGCTCAATTTCTTACTGAATATTCACTGGGTCGCTGGTAGACGGGAGTAGGTGGCACGTGACTATTAGCCACTGCCATAACGAACAACATACTGTATGTGTGTATGTATGTTGAACTCGCACCGCATGTAGCCAACCGTGTTAATTGGAGGAGCTGTGTCGAGTGTGGAAATGGTGTCCCATCGTTGCCGACCCGAGCACACCTGACTGAATTAAGCGCCCTGAGCAGTCGTAGTAATAGGGAGTCACGATTGTGTTGCTTTCCTCCGCCGCCGCCGCCGCTGCTGCTGTGTCTGCAGATGAGGGCGGCTGCATGCTGGGAGAGGCAGTGCTGGGCCTGGTGCTCATGCCAGACGGGGAGGTGCACCTGAGTCTCAACGGCACGAGGGAGGGCATGCTCGTGTGCGCCGACCCAGGACCTCCGCTCTGGCTGCTCTTCGGATTCCGCAATGCCACTGCCACCGCGGAGATCGGCATTCTGGGTAAACGGTGGCCTTTCTTTTTTTTTGTTCTTCTTCTTGTCGTACGGCTGATGCAGGTGCAGAGCAACAACTACAATTTCGCACTCGGGTGGCCAAGCGAGATAACCGCGTCAGGAGCGGGAGGAGTGTTTCGCCGTGATGTCTCCTTCGCATTTGTGGATCGGGCACTGCGTCGTGAAACGTTGTACGGTCTGTTCTGGATGACCACTGTGGCACATTGGAGATTTTTAAAATTTCCATTTGTGCATCTGCCATGGTTTGTGCGGATGTGGTTTAGGGTGGACCATGAGAAGGAATGAAAGACCGGAGCACACGGTTTATTTCTTTTTAGCCAGGGAAAACTTACGCTGCTGGCCGAGGAGCGAATTACAACTGGTGCGGTGTGCGATGATAATCGTACAGCTGTGTGTGGCGAGTTCGGCTCGCGTGCGGCTGTAGGGTGGATTGTTTCATCGTGGGACTAGGAGGCGTGACGGTGGCTTGGGGAGACCTTCATCCAGCAGTGGATTGATCAACGGCTGTTAATGACGATGACGACGTTTGGCCGGCCACTGTGCGTTAGTTGCGTTGCGAGAGCATTCCATTGGTGGGGGGGGGGGGGGTTTGGAGGCTCGGATAATTGTAGGAATTATACAATATAATTAAGTTTTGGGTTATAAAGGATCAAAATGTGACCGCGTAACAAAACCGTATACGCATGTATGTACGTTGAACTTCTTTCGCACCGTACGTAGCCAACCGTGCTAGTCGGAGGTGCGGAATACAAAGAGGGGGACGCGTGCGCATGTTTCGAGTTTTTAGAAGACGGGTGATTTTGTTAGCATTTGTTTGCGTGAATTTTAAGATGGGAATAATGTTAGAGGTCAGAGAGAGAGAATTGGTAGAGGTGCAAATGAAGACACTTTGTAGAGAGGAACCATACCTATATATATAAAAGGGAAATTTGTGAATGTGTGTCTGTTCGAAGTGTTTAGCATACTTCCCAACATGCAACAAACTTTAAATTTGGCATGTGGGTAGTGTCCAGACTGTACACAATGCAAAAACTAAAAAAATAGACTTTTGTATTTGGGGAGGCGCAATAATGGGTATAATATATTGCACGGCAAGTGAGCGGTGACGTCACATCTGTGATGTCACCCGAATGCGGCAGCGTCACGCAGTGTGCCTGCTGACGTCACTCATCTCCCCCCCACCCTCCGCGTAGGCCGTGCATTAATCCAAGACAAGAATCCAAGTCTCGGGCGAAGCCGCCTAGTAAAGCTAGTACATTATAAACAAAGACCGACTGCATTGATGGGTTCTAGTTAGAGCCTTTGGAGGGATCGTTAGGTGCAGGACCTTCACCCTTTCACGAAACACATTGCTGAATTTTGGAAATACATTTATTGCCAGTAAACACACCGAGTTTTCAGGTAAACAGACTTGACGCAGATCGCCAGAGATGATAGAGGCTTACGTAACACATTTAAATGTTCTAGATTTGAAGCTTTCGTGACTGCAAGGATTCATATTCTTAGGTTTTTTTCCGAAACAACAATCGTGCTGTGACGGTTCCACCTGAAGACGGAAGCTTGTTTTGCCTCCGAAACGTCGTGGTTTTTATTTTATTTTTTACTTTTATTAATTTAAATTAAAAAAATTTTACCTACGTGACTTTACCCAAAAAAACCTAAGGACATTTAAATGTTGCCGAGTAAATGTCGCACGAGTCACCGGTGTCTTCTGGGTAACGGTGGCTTTAGAGGTGTCTTCTGGGTAAAAGCAACTGCCACAGAACCCTAAGGCGGTGGCCCCCATGGCATGCGCAGGGCTCTGTGTATTTTTGGAAAGCCAAGCTTGTCCATTGGTTGGGTGAGGCTTAGAATGTTGAACAAGGCGGGGCCCCCTTGTGGTGAAAGGTGATTTCATTGCGGGGCAGGCTGGTGGTTGAGGGGGTATTCTGGATGAAGCCAGAAAAGCTCGTTTTAAATTCTGCGCAAGGCCGCCCCCTCACGTGCCATTAGTATTCCGTGTAAGGGCTTCTGCTGCCCCACGTTGGCGTTTAGCAGCAACGCTGGAGTCAATGCGAATTGCCAGAGTTCTCACCTCAGCTGGTTTGGAAATACAACACAACTGTGGCCCACTCTTGTGCAATGGAGAAGGGCAATTGCCTGAAACGTTGCCTATTACAATTGAAAAATTTTTTTGTAGTTAATGTTATTGATGAACGTGTTGATTTTTTCCCCTTCTCTTCTGCGAAAGACATTAATAGGTGTTGGATGCTTTTTGTCATTTGAGATTTAAATCGGCACATATTTCAGGACCCATTACATCTCGAAGCAAATTATAAGGGATGCTGTGTTGCGCACGCGTTTATAAAGCCCTACGGCGTGTGCTATGCCTAAAAGCGCATTTTAGACATTTCCCTGGCAGCGGTCAAGAAGCACAGGTCGAAAGTACTTTTGCAGCTTAGCACGAACAAAACGTGTGTGAAAATTATTTTGTGTACATCTATATACACGACACTTTGGTTGTGGACAGCGACCTTCACAGCAGAGAAGAGGTGGAATACAATTTGAAATACAATTTTGAGCTTTACTGAGGTTGATTGGATTTGGGGGGGGGGACACTGCAGCTGCATGAATAGTTTCCATGAGAAGATATCGGGCACAGATAAAGAACTCAAATATGCTGTGTCTGTAGCTGGCCCATGGCTTGCTGAGAATCCCTTATGGAGGTTATACACATCCTTGTTTACCTTGCTGGAGACCAAGTAGCATTATTTTGGAAGGCTTTAAGATAAACAGTTGAAATTACGTTTCTCAGCTGATAAATCTACACCACGCATTTGTGTTAAGTTTACATTTTAGTGAAGCAGCGTTAACTCACGTGTGTGTGTGTGTGTGTGCGTTTCTAGGCACCCAAAAAGCCAGCTTTTTGGGGTCGTCATCTCCCTCAATGGGCAGCAATCTCCCAAGCAGCGACTCGGACATTACCATCAGCAACAGCATCTCCTTCTCCTCCTCGTCATCTTCCCTCGGTACAATAAACAACAACAACAACGACGATACCCCTTGGTGTCATGGTGTAACGGTCGGCACGATGGATCTCCGTAGTCACCGGTTCAATTTCCCGGTGAGGCGGTTGGAGTGTAGGTGCTCCCGCCAGCGTGGAAGAGTAGGCCAAAATGCCCCAAGAGGAGCTGTCGAAAGCTCCCTCCAGCCGAGACCCTTCCACCATCAGCGGTGTGAACAATTATGGATATTGATGATGAAAGCGAGCGTGAAATTAGTTGCTAAAATAATTGCATCCTAATTATGAGACGAATTTTTTGCTTGCGTGTTAAAATAATATCTCTTTTGTTAATCCACTGCTGGATGAAGGCTACGCCATGCCACGTGGTTCACAGAGGTTGCTTGACCATACTTTACCACGCTGGCTCAATGTGGGCCGGTGGAGGAGGGGGCCCACAACCGCTTCAGATATCGCTCGCCACAAATGTGACCGTGCCGGGAATAAAACTCAGCTTGCTGCATACATCGTGCGGTGCCCTAACCCACTGCAACAACAGCTCCCCCCTCATTTGGTCAAATCACAGCGTGCCGATCGCATCCCACGTTTGCTTTTCCTTGCCAAGAAAATGAACAGGCAGAACTCGCCGCATTATTAACGGCAAACGTCTTTGGCGTTTTTTCCTTTTTTCCACCCCCCCCCCTCCCTTTTTCCCTCGTGAAGTGACAGCGCCCGGCTCTCCGCTCGGCGATGGCCCGGCCGCCGTCTTCCCAGCATGCCCGGCGCCCACCACCACCATGGCGGCGGTCGCCGTGGTGGCGGGCGCCCCGCCGCGGGGTCACGGCGAGCGCGCCTCGTCCCCGCGCGGGCGCGGCGAGTGCACAATCTGCTTCGAGAACCCGGCCGACTCGGTGATCTACACGTGCGGACACCTGTGCCTGTGCTACGCCTGCGGCCAGAGGCTGCGCCGGCAGATCAACCCAGCGTGCCCCATCTGCAGGCGCCTCATCAAGGACGTCATCCGGACTTACCCCATTTAAAGGATGGTGGGGTGGGGGGGGGGTGTCGCTCGTGTCCCCTGCCCTTCCCCCGTGCGCCATCGTTCCTGTCTCTCCCCCCCCCCATCCCGACTCTCCCGTTCGCCACGATTGCCGCATCCCCCCTCCCACCTCGAGCTCCGCGCTCCCCACCACCCCGCGCGTCTCTGCCAACCTCCGTCCGTGTTGCCCGTCGTCAGTGCGCCACTGCCACCCCAAAGCGCCTCTAATCCGGCTTCGCTCCGGGCACCCGTCTGCATGTGCGAATGGTGTTGAGTGTTATACCTTGACTTGTGAGCCACACACATTCACTTGCTCATTCATGGACACACGTGGGTATGGTTAAGTGTGCAAGTTAGAGGATTCGTTTAGTTGCCGCTTTGATGGTAAAAGAGGATTTAATTTTTTTTACGTCGGACTGTCGAATGAATTGTTTCATAATAGATAGATCTATATTATATATATATATAACATGCTCAGACATGCTTTTCAAGATGACCTACAAAGCTAATGTTATACGTAGCTATATCTGCAGCTTCACCTCAACTCATCCGATCGTGGCAGCTCCATCAGTGATTTCAAAAGCTGGCTGCCAAAAAAATAACTGTAATAGAATTAAATTATTCACGTATCTCTGCCATCTGCATGTGTATGAGGAGGCATTCTGTACATTTACACAGCCAGATGATTGTTTTCACAGTGCCCGTTCTTTTCCGGTTATCATCGATCATTTTTTATTTCATTTAATTCGAGATTTGTAACACCGTATTTGTATCCCTCGACCTTGACGTTCTGTGCCTCGCAAACGAGGCGTAAGGGGTTAAAAACAAGCTAACTTCAAGTCCGTCGTCATGAAACGGTTCTCATTATTTATAGCGGACGTGTTGCAGTAATTCCACATAGGTGTTAACGCAGAATATGTGTGTGGTGCTTGTTTGGAACTGGTAGTCATGAGATTTTGACCTTGACGCGTGAGTTTTCGCGGCCGCTTGTCCAGGCGTAGGTCTTAGGGGCTAGGCCAAGCGCCTGGCGTTTCTTCCCCCTCCGTATGTCGCCACGCACTACCGCGTTCATCTCATCCAACTCCTGAAGTTGCCCGCGTGGCGAAAGCTTGAGAGGGAGAGAGAGAAAAGAAGAAATGTTCGAAACGCAGTCCCCAACCCGGAAAACCGCCCTGTGAGATTTCAACCTCTGTTCGGTCGAAGTAGCTATGAATGGGGCGGTGTGAATGTGTCTTTCACAGCGTACAACACCGCTGTAGCAGAGTGCGGATTCGACGATCGCATGTGGCGGTCCCGTCACGTTTATTTATGTTTCGTTGACACAGCCTGCTACACTCACTTGACACTTCTCCGCCTAATTATTTCTTATCTGCACAAAAGCAATGCTTGGCTGAAGACGATGAAGGTTTGACCGGTCGCTGGTCCGCTATTTTATGGCTTCTGAAGAGTGCAATGAAATTAAGAGAATTTACTCGCTTAGAGCTCAACATGAATTTTAACTATAACCTGCGAGCAGAACATTTGGAGGCACATTCCTTTAAATACAATTGGATCACGTGGGTTTGTATAAATAAACCAAAAAACATGACTACTTTGATGAGCGATTGAATGCAATTTTAATCATAAAAAAAACTATCTGAAGAAAATCGTTGTCCACGATTGACTTTTCCCCCTTTCCATTACAATCCATCATGTTTAGATGTTTCTGCTGTACTTTGATAAAAGGGCAGCATTGTAGAGTGGATGTTCCTGGCCTATGTGTTCAGAGCCAGCAATGTATCCCCTCATTTAGTTGTCGTTTCTCCACGCACTCTTGCGATATTGCTACACTAAAACACACGCACACGCTAAATAAACTAAAATTGTTCCCACACTAAAATGCACAATAAATGTATTGGCCGAATGTTCATACGTAGGACCGTCCCGAAAAAGAATATTATTCGCACTCTGTAAAGCATGTATAGTGATATCAAAAGTCTCCCTGCCCAGTTCGGGCTATGGGAGCTCATCTCTGGCGGAAATGGCGCTTTCCTTTGGTGGAGGCCCAGTCTGTCTCTAGATCCTGGGGAAAAAGAGTACATTATTTATTATTGATATTATTACGCGATGTGACAATTTGGCGCAACTCGTTCGAATACGAAGCACTCAATATCACGTGGACACGTCGGATAAGGGAAACCGGCTTGCATATTGCTTGAGGCTCGACGCGTGTCTGGTTACAGAGCGAGCGGCTATTATGTAGATGGAGATGTAATGATATAACACCGTTTAATTTTTTTTAATGTTCATATATGAGATGTGTTCGTTGGTTTCTTTCGTTTTGCAATAAAAGAGAAAAATGTGTGTTTTATGTAATAAGGATGACAAGCTTTCATTGCCTTGTGGTTTTATATTTAGATATGCCTTCAGGCTTATGCTAGCGACGTACAATATTGTCATCGTATGCGATACAAACGGATTCTGCCGTTGTGTAATGGTTAGCACACCAGATGTGCAATTCAGAGATTGTGGGTTCGATCTCCAGGCGCGGCCAGTTGAAACAAGTTTGTGAAAATAATTCTCCCACTAAATTTCGATTTAAAGCTTTCGTGACTGCAGGGATTCATCTTCTTGGTTCTTTCGGTAAAGTCACGTAGAAGGGAAATAATAAAATAATAAAAATAAAACATAATGAAATTATTCTCACGACGTTTCGGCCACCAACGCAAGCAGCCGTCCTCAGGTGAAGAACAGGTCTGTCGGAAAGACAGTGTCTGAGAATTATTTTATTATGTTTTATTTTTATTATGTTATTATTTCCCTTCTACGTGACTTTACCGAAAGAACCAAGAAGATGAATTCTTCCACTCTTCAAGCCGGTAGTACGACCCGGGGGGTGAGCCCCGGTGAAGTAGATTGGCACGTGGTTGAGGTATGCCTGGTCAAAATGCCATCGACAGAGTGGCTCCCCAGAGGTCACCTTCGTGGGGGCCTCTCCACCAGCAGTGGCGCGAGCAGGCAGTTGCAGGGCTGCACCTTTACTTGATGAAAAATGGCAACCAAAATTACATGCGTTTTATACAGCATTTAATTAAAAAAACAAGGCAATTGTTTTTAACGTTTATTTTCAGCGATTGAAAGTATTTTATATGTTATTCTATACCTTGCTTCATTATTCGTTGAAACATTAGTTAGCATCATGCTTAATCCTCAATGTTGGTTAATTTAATAGCAGTAACTGTTTGGAATACTATAGACTTGTGGAATATGATGTTAATATTAATTGAAAGCATATTTATATTTGATTTAATAACTACATTTTTTTCAAACGTTTACAAAATATTGCATATATTGCACGAGGATTTTTTTAACGATTTTAACCTTTCACTGAAAAATAATTTTTTGGCACAAATTTAGCATGACATTTAAAAAAAAGTATGTTAAGTGTACTATAGTTAACTTGCACACAAAACGAATTGCTTATGAATATATTCGGGAGGACATCACTGTAAATTACCTTTTTTATTCTCTCTCTATTACATTTTTTATGCATACAGTATCTTTTAAAATGATGTTGACAAATAATTTAACTATTTCCCCCAAGTGTTGGTGAACCATGCCACAGGTACGACTATGATTGGTAACTTTATACAAATGTATGTTTAATGTAGCTAGCCGTAGCCCACTCGTCACCACATTGGCATTGGGGGTTTGTTTGACCTTATTTCATCACGCTGGTCACTGCAAATTGGTGAAGGTGGCCCCGGGATAGGTTCAAATTATTACTCGCCACTGACATGAGCCGTGTCCGGATATCCAACTCGGGTAGGCGACTTTTTACTGCGCAGTGCGCTAACCACCGCGCCACCGCTCCACGTTACTGGGGATAATCACAGATGAGATGTTTACCGGCACCTGAAACTGAAATGTGTCCATCCTCCAATACGCGGCTGTAATGACAGAGGAGAAAAGCCCAAGCCGTCTCTTGAGAAATGACCGCTCCTGCCAATGTCTCGCGAGGCCTGCCTCTCACAAAGCACACGCCGGCGATGGAGCCTCCCTGAGCAACTTAACAGCTTAACACGGCTGCACGTCCCAGCGCATTTCAATTACAGGAGCAATCTCGTACGTCTCACTCCCAGCGTCGGGGGCTCCGTGGAGAAAATTGAATATCCACCGGTCATGAGATGGGTGGTTCGCAAAGCATGCGGGACGGTGGGGCAAGTGCGAGGCACCGCTGCTTATGAGGGCGTTCGGAGGTCGACAGGTCAAGCGTGAGGTCGGCGTGGGTGTAAACACGATTATTTTTAGGGTTAGGAGGCAGTGTCAGAGAGGGCCGGCCCTTGGTGTTGCGGTCAATGTCACGCTCATAATAATAATGTCACTCGTGGAGGAAAGCCTCGTGTGGTCAACGGTATCTTTCGGGAGGATCCTGCATACATTGCGATGTTTGGCCAGTTGAGTTTTTAGAGAGTGGAGTGTGTGTGGAAAAACATCGGAGAACCCAGAGAGAACCCAGAGAGAACCCAGAGAGAACCCAGAGAAACACAGAGAAAACACAGAGAAAACCCAGAGAAAACCCAGAGAGAACCCAGAGAAAACCCAGAGAAAACCCAGAGAAAACCCCAGAGAGAACCCAGAGAAACCCCAGAGAGAACCCAGAGAGAACCCAGAGAAAACCCAGAGAGAACCCAGAGAAAACCCAGAGAGAACCCAGGGAAAACCCAGAGAAAACCCAGAGAGAACCCAGAGAAACCCCAGAGAGAACCCAGAGAGAACCCAGAGAGAACCCAGAAAGAACCCAGAGAAAACCCAGAGAGAACCCAGGGAAAACCCAGAGAAAACCCAGAGAGAACCCAGAGAGAACCCAGAGAAAACCCAGAGAAAACCCACACTTGCGTGGGGAGGGGGTTAAACCGATGTTCCGCATGGAAGAGTTCACGACTCAACTTTAGCTGTGTTGCCATCTTCTGGCCACATAGCAGCCCAGCGGGTTTCGGGAGTTTCACGAATCTCTCTCTACGTGGTCCAACCATCTTCTTGGTTCTTTCGGTAAAGTCACGTAAGAAGGGAAATAATAAAATAATAAAAATAAAACATAAAATAATTCTCACGACGTTTCGGCCACAACGCAAGCAGCCGTCCTCAGGTGAAGAACAGGTCTTTCGGAAAGACAGCGTCAGAATGAACACCACCAAGCTTGGCAGCGTATATTTAAGCTGGTTTGGAGGGGGAAGAGCGCCTTGACAAAGGAATTTGCATATCAAGAGTCCAACCAACCGAGTGTTGGATCTTCGGCGTGCGCCACCATGCCAGGCTTTAACATGCCCGTCGTGTGTGCAAGCTAGGGCCGGAAGATAAATGTTGAGGTCACCCTTGAGGTCACCCTTCACGGTTTCACCCCTGCTGCCAAATCAAGATGTAGCCCGCGGGAGGTTTCACCTTGTCAACATAGGTGGTAGAAATGTACTAAAGTTCAAACACCTTTAGTCCCTAGCCGCTCCTCGTGCATATGTCACGATAAATACACCCGGTGGAAAATTTACTGTCAGGAATATATGGGCCATGACAAGAGGCAACTGGAATGCACAAAATAAATGAACGGTTTTTTTTCTTCTCGCGAGATATATGGCATTAGAGTAAAACATTTTAATGCTTTACATTTTGTTTATGGCGTAATTATTTTGCAGAGTGACACACTATTTTTCTTTCCCTCTTAGCCGTGTTTGTGAATTACACATGCGCGTGCGTCGATCCCTGAATCGGGGTCGTTACAATACATCGCGGCGAGTTTTTACGCCACACATTTTGAGGCATCGCTGGATTTTAACAGCAATGTGCTTTTTCTGGAATTTGCTCATTCAACAGCTTGGCTGCATCAAAGCTGAATCGTACCTGAACTCCGTATTTAAACAATTTTAACAAGCGGTTTAAATTACAGACACTTATGTATACGTTTATATGTTTTTTAAGAGTCTTTCATCATAGGAAGGTGGTGGCAGGAGGTGGCACGAGAATGGCACATTTCCCCGGGCGCGAACATGCCGAGGTACGGCTATGAACTCCGCTCTATGCCCTGCTCTATATTCTGTATCCTGGTCGGTGTGGCTTGGAGTAGGGAGCCAGAGCCGGTTTAGATATCACTCGCCACTGCTGTTAAGCCATGACCGAGAATCAAACTCAGGTTCGCTGGGTTTAGAGCGCAATACACGAACCACTGTGTGCTTAGTTGTAATCGTTCCTTGTTCTTCTTCACGTTGACATGTCTTCTTTGGATGGCAAGTAAAGAGGTAAACTGCAATGGCGTCCATGCGTGAATCTGATGTCTTTTTCTCAAGTGAAATCTGTTACATGTGTAGTGACATGGAATAGGTCACTACGTAGCATAGCGCGGGTTGCTGGCAGAGAAGGGGATCTGCAGTTGCGGCAGCCCTGTCTGTCAGCAGGTCACGTGTTAAGCCAGAGAGAGGGATGTCGGGCCAAGGTGATAGAGGGGTCACGTGAGGGAAGCCCGGCAACCCGCCAGTAGGCGGAGCGAGGCCACGCTAGGAGGATAAAAGGGGACCCCGAGCAAAGGCTCGGGGCTGTTGCTTGGAGTGGGATCCCGTCGTGCTGCTAGAGTCTTCGTCAACGTCTTCACCTTCTCGGCGTCGTCAGTCAGGCAGTCTGTTAGTTGTCCTGTTGTGGTTATCCCTTGTAAATAGAGTGCCTCCAACTCCTAGTGTCTCTGAGTGCGTCACTACACATCCATGATAACACAAAATCACCGCCACCGCTGATGCGAGCAGCTTTGAATCCTGAAATAGTGAGCACGCCACAAAGCATACAAAAACTCATTACTAAAAACACTTTTTAAAAAAACACAGCCATATGGCACAAACAACGCTTAATTCTGTTTGTGTACGTTCAATGTTGTCCTCATGCGATTGATGCTTTCTCTTCAGTCGCTAGGTTCAGACCGCAGGGCGATAACCAATGCGCTACTGCTTCATCCCTTTGTCAACAACACACATTTATTATAGCTGCATGCGGAACACTTCATGTGAACAATGTGATCTTATTTTGTCCATCTTCCACCGTTGGACGTAGTGCAGTGCGCTAACCGCTGCGCCATCCATCGCTCCACCCATATTAAAAAAACCCTAACCCGGTGATCTTCAACATTGTTGTTATGGTTGGCCCCTTGTGTTGACTTGTGTTGCCTCCGAAACGTCGTGATTTTTTATTATTTTATTTTATTTCTATTACTACTTTTATTAATTTAAATTTAAATTTTTACCTACGTGACTTTACCGAAAAAACCTAAGAGTATGAATCCTTGCAGTCACGAAAGCTTCAAATCTAGAATGGTTGCCCCCCCCCAATCAACACCACTGGCCCCACGCATCCGCCCCCCTTCACAACTACTTGCACTTAGTGCACTTCCTAATTTGCGCGCGTGAGTTGTTTGAACACACTTATAACCGTACGTAGATCAAACTGCAGTGGACATTCGAGGATGTTCTCTCCTTTGGCAGCATGCCCATCGTTAGTCTTGTCCACTGGCCATTAACGTGTCCTGCCAACAAACTCCCTTGCTTTTCCTATCATGCAATATTAAGCATCCCTCAATGTATGCTATCCTAGTTTACATTAAATACACTTTTAAACCTAGATTGAAAACGAATTTCTTTTAGAAATGCTTTTTGTGTGTTTAGTTGCCCCCAGCCACCGCACCTTCTATAAATACACTTTTAAACCTAGATTGAAAACTAATTTCTTTTAGAAATGCTTTTTGTGTGTTTAGTTGCCCCCACCCACCGCACCTTCTATTAGCACGGTTGGATACGTACGGTGCGAAAGAAATTCAACATGATGGACATATTAAAGAAAACACTCTCTTAAGGTATCTGTTCACTTTTAGAAGCAGGAACATATTTTTTTCCAGTCATTGCCGTAGAGGTGATTCGAAGTGACTGATGATACCTGTACAGGATGACGTGATACAATAGCGGGTAGCAAAACGGGGATTGTTCTTGGCTGTGAGTCATAAGGTCAGCAGTTCAATCTACCCTATCATTGTGTTGAACAATGCTTTCAACTGATTTAGTTAGCATATGGTGTATAGAGTCCACTGTCCTCCGTTGTGGTGTGATGGATATCATGGCAACCTTGAAAGTTGTTACGGGTTCGAATCCGATACATGTCTATTTAATTAGTTAAATGTAATGACGTCTTTAATTTGCATTCACAACACCACCTGGAGCCCCGTGACGTCACAGATGTCCGGTGGCTGAGTGGGGAACACACGGGGTTGTGAGTCTTAGTTATGGAGCGCAAGGTTCAAATCCGATTTTCGAATTTAATATTTGTGTTTGTTCATTGAATAATGCAAATTTTTAAATAATATATTTTATTCAAAAAGTACAACGACAAAATAGGCAAAAATTAGTGGATGACATTGGTGCTTCTAAAGTCCAGAGACCTGGGTTCAAATCCCACCGTTAATTTTTTGACACTTTATAAATTGTGCAATGACGTCACCGTATGCAAAATGACGTCATTCCGTATGTTTACTGCAGCAATATGACTGCAGGAATCCATACTCTTTGGTTCAAACAAAATAGAAATAATATATCACGATGTTTCGATCTCATCACAAGCGGTTGTCGTCAGGTGGAAAAAAATAATCCAGCAGTGGAACTGCTGAACCAGCGAGAGAGCTGTTACAGCAACAAGAGGTTATATATGTGACGATGGGCAAGCAAGCAGGGTCTGAGCTGGAAAGGAATTCCATCCACGGACGCAAGCACGTCAGTTCGTGTTAATGGGGGAGATTATGGGGGACAAGATGCAAGAGAAAGGGGAATGTGCAAACGGCAAGTGCGCGAATGTGGAGAGGAGTTTGAACCAAAGGCTGGAGGTGATTTGAGATCTGGTAAAGATTTGAGATCTGGTAAAGATGTGTGCGATCGAGAGGTGGTGGTGAAGAAGATAACACCAGCAGTTGACGGGACCTCAAGAAGAGAGGATGAGAGAAGGCAATAAGTTATTCAGGTAGGAACCTCCTGGTTACACCAGCCCACAGGGGATTATTGTGTCCATCCGTCCGTCGTGCAGGGAAGGGCTGGGTGCTGAGGTTGGGGCTGGGTGGGGAGGGCTGGGTTGGGAGGGTGGGGAGGGGCTGGGTGGGGAGGGTGGGGAGGGGCTGGGTGGGGAGGGTGGGGGATGGGAGGGGTGGGGCTGGGTGGGGAGGGGCTGGTCACCCCGTGGTGCCCTTATACAACTCAACGTTTAACCTACTGACACCGGCTTGTGCCCGCCCTCACAGTCGGGCATATTTGCGGGATACACCACGCCGCCGTTGACCCTGGCCATTGACCGAGCAACCCAACGTTCCTACCAGCTCCCTCCGCAGGAATGTGTTTTTTTTACACGGTTGAAAATTTTTGCCACCAGGAGGCACTGCTTACCACTAGGGGGCGATGTTTAATTAAATACCCATTGGGAAATGTAGTTTTCTTGCACATTAACGGATTTGAACATGGGTTTCAACACTTCAAAGATGAAAATCACTATTTGATGCAAAATCGAGGTTAAATCATGCCACCAAATATCCAACACGTAATGTGACGAGTAAATTTG